AATAATTAAGCTCAGGAAAACAAAAAACAAAAAATCCTTTAGTAACTTCGTGTTTACCTTCGTGCATGAAATACACTCAGATAAAAGTTATTAAGTGTTCAGCTCTGCTGAACTTTCTGAGTTTGAGGCTGGATAACTTTCTCATCACTCAGATAAGTTCATCTCCCTTCTCAAATTCTGTTAAGAATTTGAATGAGGATAAAGTGTGCCTGTGACTAGGTGAGAAAGAGAGAGAAAAAGAACCAGTAAAAACCAATGATTTCTAAAACCATTAGTTTATTTTTAAATGAAATCAGAAAACAGCTATAATTAATCTAATACTTTTTCTGACCTTTTTTTTACATCAACACATTTTAATACAACTACAACTGTTTTCACTACTACCATTCACTTTGAACTCCTTTTACTAGGAATAATGAGTCTGGCTACTTGGCCCACTCTCACAATTTTTCTAACATTTTTAACATTAACATATTTTAATACAACACTGTTTTCATTATTTCCATTATTCATTCCTATTATTAACCAGGAAAACTTTGAACTCCTTTCTAATGAGAATAATAATTCTAGCACTTGGCTCACTCTCTCTCCACTCTCCAGTCCCACTTTGTTTTACACATTTTGGCAGTCTAAAATCCCTCTAGTTTTCACAATATTTGTCTAATTCACCAATTAATTTCACTTAGAATCATTAGCTTGTCTTTTGTTTATGTTCTGAACCCTTTATCTTTCTTAACTGAACTTACTGGGGTTACATTGGTTAATAAAGTATATAAATTTAAGGTGTATGATTCTATGACATATCATCTGTATATTGTATTGTGTGTTCACCAGTCATGTCTCTTTCTAAACTGCTTATCTCTCAAAAGCACTTTTGATCATTTTTTAAGGCTGTGCTATGTCCTATAATACACTTTGAAGCTTTAGGCTTTGTTGATAGATTAAGGTTCTCTAGGTAGTGAAATATCTTCCTTTGGCTTTCAAAGAGAAAAATTTTCTTGGCCAGGCTTCGTGCTAGTGGAAATCACACCATTTATGTGAGCTTTGTGTAAATTTTTCTCCCAAGTGCTCATCTACAAATGTTAAGGGTAAGAATTAGGGTCATCCTTAGCCTCATATTCGTAAAATTTGATGTCACTTTTATCTGCCTTTATTTCCAGAATTTAAAAACTTTACCTAGAGGGAAGGAGCAGAGACTTGGGAGACTTTATGTTCGTTTTTGTTGTTGTTGTTGTTTGTTTGTTTTTCAGGATTGGTCAAAAGAACAGCATAGTATCATGTGAAAAAAAATCTTTGGAATCTAGTTAATATGAATTAGAATTCCATCTTGGCCCCCTCTTAGCTATGTGACCTCGGTTACTAAATGAAGCCCCATCTCATCTTTCTCTGTTTTGTGGAGGATTAAAAATATGTGCAAAGCACCTGGTACATACATAGCAGGACTCATAGCTATAGGAATGGGAGCCATTACCTAGCTGTGCGAACCTGAGAAAGCCACTTAGGTGAGATCTCTGTGCCTCAATATTTTTATACATCAAAGTGAGATAATAAAAGTACTTCATTGAGTTGTAAGATTAAATAAGCTTAATATAGTAGGGTATTTAGAACCATGCTTTTCATATGGTAAGCACTATACATGTGTAGGCTACTCATTATCATCATCACTAATTTTATTGTTATTATCATCACTGTTATCCATGTACTGAGATCATCAGGAAAATTTCCTGAACACATCAAATGCTTCAACAAGCATCTCATTGAATTTCTATCACTTCCATAAAGCTTATTTGGTGTGGAAGGGGGTTGGGGTGGTCTGTACCACCACAATCACTGTTAGTCTTCTTGTTTTAGGTCCATTTGTTTCTCTACTCTTGGATCATCTGCATTGTTTATCAGCAACTTCCATACCTTCAGTATCACAGGTTTGCCAATTTGGGGCATGATACCTGCTGCAAAAAGTTTACAACTTTAGCCAATTTCTCAGTATCTTCCTAACATTATTATCGCCAATATCTTATTTAAGCCAGTCCTTTATAGGGAATCTAAAATTTACTGTGACTATTTGCCCACAGCCATGTTAGGTTTAAAAGAAAAATTCATTTTTCTTTTAAAATAATAAAGATTCATATTAAATCTTAAAAATATTAAAGAAAAATATTAAAGATTTAGCAGGACCTGGCACATAGTAAGTATCTAATATATTAGCTAGCCTTACTATTAGCAAATATTTTATATAAATTATCTCATTTAATCTTTTAGCAACTAATCTTATGAGAAAAATTTCTCAAGTCACCTATGAAATAACCGATGCTCGGAGAAATAAGCCAATCAAGGTCACAAGTTAGCAAATAAGAAAGGGGGAAGGGATTCAGACTATGGTCTATCTTATCCCAAAACACTCTTTCCACTACATCCGAGGGGCCTTCACCATTTCTCCTTTCATCTTCTCGTAATAAGTCTCCGTTTATTTCCATTTCCTTTTCAGCCTTTAGGTAAGAATATTACTTCTTTGGGTGCTATGAGTATTCTCCTTGGGATCATTAGGGTCTTTTCAAATCCATTTCAAGTTGGGGTAATAACCTCTAAAGATAAGCAAAAGGCTGCAGGATTGTGCCTCTCTTAAAAAATTTTTTCATGTAGAAAGTGGTTTCAAAGCCTTAAAATCAGATGGGTACAGCTTCAAATCCCATCTCTACCTAGGTTGGCTCATAGGGTTATTGTGTGTTATTCTACTTCAGCCCTTACAGTATCTCAATGAAGTAAGTACTTTTATTATCCCAAATTTGTAGCTCAATAGACTGAGGCTGAGAAAGGCCTCACACCTCACTATATGACCAGCCATCCTTTGGGAGTTCCCAAAACAAGAAACCACCAACTGATTCTGGTGGGGGGCCATGCTCATTCTAGGAGGACTTGGTTTATCCTGTGTGAGCCACTGTCGTGGCCATTAGACCTGCCCTCTCTGCTCTGCAGCTCCCTTTCCTCAACTCGCGTTGACATTCTTGGTTTTGTCAGCCTGTAACAGCTTTTTATTTTTCTTTTGGTGTATATTAACTCAGAGACTGGGCTGCCTTGTTTGATCTGCTGTGGCTGCAGAATACTGTTCAACTGTCTTGCTGTTGTCAGGAATCCCAACAGAAAACACAGCCACAGCCGCACATCTGTGTGCTTTTGTCAGTATTGCGCAAACTCAAGAGAAAACCATCTCTGTATCATTGGCATGTTATTACTTTTAAAAGAAAGATCTGAAGCAATCATGGCAAGTTATTAACATCTATTCATCTAAACATCTGGGTGGTGGGCACATGGGTGTCATGTTATCTCCTATACTTTTCTGTAAGTTTGAAATATTCATATATTAAGTAAAAATAACTAGAAATATAAAAGGCTGTAGCATCTTAAAAAATGCAAGTAAAACATGACTTCCCTTACAGAGTTACTACTTACAGAATGAAAACACTTGTTATATGTTGGAAAATAAGTAAATGTAGTTAAGCACTTAAATGCGTAATTACCCCACAGTAGATTACTTATTACTGTTTTTCCCCAAGGTCTTAAAATATACATGTCTACACCTCTGATTTAGGATTTAATGGTCAAGACTTTCAAGGGCCATTCTCTATGTTGAAGGACTGGCTGTAGAATGGATAGAAAGGCATGGAGCCAATTCTGGTGATAGCCAGAAGGGCTAAATGACTAGATGTCAGGAAGTTGCACTGAGTAGCATTAATCACCATGAAAAATTATAGTCCCTCCCTCTTTCAGGCTAAGAAGCATGTTTATCTGCCTCCTGAGAGTGATTCCTTCTCTCAAAGGCAGACTTACTTTAACCAAACTTGCAAGATTGATAATAAAATCAGAGTGCCAATATATTACTTTACAATGAGAAATCTGTCACAGAAAGAGTGCACTGATCCCCTGTAAGGAAACTTACATTGAACGTTAAGTTATAATCACAGTTTATGTGATTAGCACAGCATGAGAAAAGAGAAGTTGTTAGCTATCCCTGTTGAAATGTAATAGTATTAAGCTACACTAACCCAATGCATCCCCATACAGGAGGAAGCCCTACCAATGGGAACAAAATACTAAAAATAACCCATTGGCCAAAATTCTCTCTACCCTGGCTAGTGCCTGCATGGACAGTATCACAGTTTGCCTCTTGACACTCACATTTCTATGCCTTAATGTCATCAAACTCCTCTTTGAATTGAGACTTTCTTTCATTAATGTGCTGGTACTTAATTGTATAGCAGGTCTTGTAGGCCACATGTCACCTACAGAATCAATTCTACCAATTATCTCTCTTGGAGCTTATAAAAGAACCCATGTCTTTTATAGGTAGAGTCATAGAAAGATAAGGACACCTTGATGAAGGCCCATGATATAATTCAAGATGTTGTTCACCAATGTATCCCAAGTTCCTAGGACAGGTCCAGTCTCTTAGTAGACCCTCAGTAAATATTTGTAGCAATAAAGAAAACTCTCATTTTTAAAAAATAAAAAGTAGTTAAGTACAATTTGAAGTGCATGTTTTAATTAGTCACTGTCACTACTTATTTAGAAAATAAAATCATTCGGGGTCTGGGGGCTTCCTCCCACATATACTTTCCCACATTCAGCCTGAGCTGCAAAGAGAAAATCCCCCAAATGCTACTCATTCCCCATCAGCCACTACCACCACTTCTATCAGTAAATACGACCATAGAGACCCCCTTTCACATTATTCCTGTGTATGCCAGTGCCCAAGTGGGCAGTGAAGTGAACTAAGCATGAATGCTTCCTCCCATACCAATAAGAATACCAACCACTCAGTGTAAAATAGATATGGGTATATATTACTAAATTCTGTACTTATGGAAACACATGACACCTCGCTATTAAAATGAGCCAGCAAAGAAAGTTTTTAGTGAAGTCATAAAGTTCCAGAAGGTATGAATCCTACTGCCCTTACGGTAAGACCTACCCCAGCATGTGTGTGCTGTGTGTAATTTACTCACCGTGTACTGAAACTTTTCATTATATTCACGGTCATTGGCTTTCACTATCCGTTTCTCTTCTGAAGAGAAAGAGAAATCAGGTATGAAATTAAATTTTCAACCCAAAGAATCATATAACTCATTAAAATAACAACACTTAGGTTACTTTGATTGTAGTCAAGGTTGCAAGAATTCTTTCCTTTGAAATTTGAAGGGCATTGGTTTTTTCCAGGCTAAATGTTGGAACATGTATTGGAAAGTCCCAAAATGGAAAGCTGAAATGTTTCTCATCGTCTTTCTGATGCCAGCCATAAAGCAAAACACTATGTGTCTCCAATTTCTACATCCCTCAGCTCCACAAAAACCCCTACTCTTAGCTTCAAATAGTTCCTTAAGGTGAAGGAGCTTCTGACAATCAAATGCCATTCTGGGAAGGAATTTTTATTTTTATTTTTTATTTTGCTACACAGTCATAAAATATAACATAGCCAAGCAAAATCATACTGAAGTGGCCATTGAAGTCACTGACCTTATGGTCATGGAGCCAAAGGTGATACTTGTAAACAGCCCAGGACATTGAGAGAACTCCACGTCACCTGAGACCCATAGACTCATCATCAGCTGGAAGTAGTGTTCTCTTTCCCATTTTTTTTTTTTTTTGCACTTCCCCTCTGCTTCACTCTAGCCAGTGGGTACTACCTTCACATTCTAACCTCTGCCACACTCCAGAACACCAATATCTCCTAGAGGGGAGCTTCTGCACTTATCTGGTACTCCGGTTTTTATTTCTTGTGACTTGGTTTTTGCAGCTGCTGCCCAGGGGATGCCCAACGCCCCAAGATCACCTGGCTCCGGAGGACAGGGGAGCTCATGTTCCCAGGTCACATGAGACTATAAAAATCAGAAATTCTGTTCTTGGCAGACTACCTTATTCAGGACCCTGAACAGAGAGCAGACTGAAACACACCCCCCAGGCTTTCTGAGAAAGAGGTCTATTTGCTCGTCCATAGCTTTGGCCTCAGGGACAGTCTTCTGGTTTGGCACACTTATAGGGACCAATGGAGGGGCTCTCAGGGAATGAAGGCTAGTGAATACAATCTTTGCAGTCTCCCCCTGCCTCATCCCAGATCACCAGTATTTTCCAGAAAGCACCTTCTATATTCTTCTCTGGTTGCCCTGATTTTTGTAGCTACTACCAGGGTACACCTTTACATCACCTGAAAGTAAATGCAAACACCAGTATGAATAACAAAATAAAATGTTATAATAGTGTAGAAATTAAAGTGTATAGAGGGCAGGAAAAGATAGTGCCTCAGAAACACCAGCTGAGCATATTTTTGTAATAAGGATAGCAATTTCTTGTTCCATGTATACTGGATCCAGAGTTGACGAAAGGGTAATGATGGAATAATAAAGGCCATGGGAAGAGGGCCAACCAAGTAACCACCAGATGTCAACGTTGGATTCTCATGATAGGTGACTTGACCATCTCACATGGGAGTGTCCCTTAATCCCACAGTCCTCCACCTGAATAAGTGACAGGGGATAGAAAGTATAGGCATAGGGGTAAGAGTCTGAATTTAGAGAAGATACATAGAACTGCAGAGATAAAAGAGACTAGAGGGTAGAAAGTAACTTGGAAGCACGTATTATGAATGGCAGAAGGGAGACTAAGAAGAAAGCAAAGAAAAGAAGAGCTGGAAATAGAAAGGAGATGAGAAAGATGAGGGAGATGAAGAGGGAGGGAAAGAAGAAAGGAACATATCTTCATACCTGCCCCTCATATGCCAGGCACCATAATTGTAGGAACTGTCCACATTTTCCCAAAAGTCCAAGAGGAATCAAAATGTCTCGACAGTTCCTGTGGCTCAATTTCCAAGTATGAAGTGCACCTCTGAGGACTGCTCCTGACAAATGACACTCTGTCTTTGATTATGGTGGCATTTCTACCAGTTGAAGAGTATTTGTCTGTTTGACATCCACTTACATGGCTTCTTTCTTACTCATCTAAAGAATCAATTTCCTATGATTGTTCCTGTTTTCCAGTATCGCTCACCTAACTGCTGATAAGAACAATACTGGACTGATATCCAGAGCTCCTAACACCTGAGTGGGCTTGCTCCTACCATGTATGACTCTGGAATCCAGAACCCACCAGTAAACAACTGCTCAACCAACTGTCCCCTGGAAGAAACAATTCAAACTCTGGCTATAAAAGCATCATCCCCTTCCAGATTCTCCAACAAAGAGCAAAAATATCAAAGCCTAAAATAGTATTTTGGATTATGAAGTCCCACTGAAATTACAGAAAATACATTAAAAAAAAAAAAAGAATAGAAACAAAGTAGTGCTAGAAAATAAGAGTGGGGTTTTGTAGAGCTTCATAAATTTTAAAGAAAATCTAGAAAATAAAATAGAAATCAGATGAGATCAAGTTGGGAAAAAAAAGGTAGGAACAGTTCTAACTGAAAAAAAAATATTAGAAAAGTGGCCTTTCCAATGGAGCCCAGAAAAATTCCAAGTTCAGTCAATAAATACGAAGACTGAGGGTATGCTATAGATAGAGTGACAGTCCAGTTCATGCTTATTGTCTTATCAAAATAATTCATAGGGTTTCCTTTCATTCTCCGAAGTGTCCTAGTTTGGAAGATAAATTAACTGATCACCTTAGTTTTGGAGCACAACCAGAATAATTAAATAATAATTGAGCCAGTTGGGCCACATACTCCCTCCCTTTCCCACTAAAAAGATGACACAACATGCCTGGGGAGGAGACTAATGTCGGGTGCTCAGGCCTCAGAGAGAAGCAGTTCTGAACCTCTACACCAGCTACGGTAGAGTCAGGCCCTACTAAAGCCTGCCTTACTGAGACAGCTATGGGATTTGCCAAACTGCCTGACTAACCCACAGTACTGTAGACTAAATGTTTGTATCTCCCCAAAATTCACGTATTAAAACTTAATCCCCATTGTGTTTTGGGGGACTTTGGAAGGTATTTAGGTCCTGAGATTGAAGCCCTCATGAATGGTATTGGTGCTTTTGTCAAAGAATTACCTTGCCCATTTCATCATATGGGAACACAGCAAAAAGACAGCTGTCTATGAACAGGGAGCAGGCCCTCACCAGCCACCAAATATGCTGATGCCTTCATCATGGACTTTCCAGACTCCAGAACTGTGAGAAATAAATTTATGTTGTTTGTAGGCCAGCAAGTCTATGGTATTTTATTATAGCAGCCAGAACAGACTAAGAAAGAAACCTCTCTGTGATCTGGCTACATCTCTGGCCCTCCTATTAAAAGGAGAGGCCTGGCAGGGATAAAGATCTTTGCAACTGCACTAATTCATCTAGTCCTTCATTTGTAAATACAAGCCAGCAACCATAAGTCACCAGAAATCTGAGAGAAAGCAAAAGCACAAAGGAGAAGGATCCAAGGGGAAGAGATAATGATGAAAACAGGTGGAGAAAAGGGGTTGTTTTCTTTTTAATTTTAACTAGTACCTTGAAGATATTCAGGAAGACATGGCATCCATGAAACAAGAACAAGCTGAAATAGCAAAGGAAATAGAGAAGAAGAAAGAGTTCTTGGAAGTTAAAATATTTAATAGACAAACTGTAAAGTAATCTTGAAGAAATCTCCTAATACACATACCAAAATGACAATGAGGAGGAAAATGCGAAGAAGATAACTTAGGATAAGGGATCATAAACAATGAAGGGGAGGACATATTCAAATAAATAGAAGAAAATTTCCCTGCACCTGAATAAAACATAACTCTTCTAAGTGAAAGGGCCGTCAAGATGAATTAAAGTGGACCCATACTTCTTCATAAAACTTTGAGCTCCAAAAACAAAGACAAAACATTGAAAACTTCCAGAAGAAAAAAAAAAAATGGTTAGTCCCAGGGACACAAGAATCAGACCGTGAAATTTCTCATCTGCAACAAGGATAACAGAAAACATTGGAGTGATGCCTTCCAGTTTTAAGGAAAAATGTTTTTGCATTTGGAATTCTATACCCAGCCAAATAAAAAAGTGTAAAGGAACAATCAAAATCTTTTTAGCCATGTAGGACCAAACATATAAGACTATCTCCAAACCCATAAGACCATCTCCAAAATAATTACTCAAGAATGTGTAACAGGAACAAATTTATTTGAAATTTCAAAAGTAAAGTGGAGTGGAAGAAAATATAGAAACAAGGATGATGACCAACTAACATCAACAATGAAAATAAAAATGCCTGATATGATGACCCACACACCTGTTTTAGGTGGACCACAACTTCTACAGAAAAAGGGAAGGCCTGTCTATTACCCTTTATTTCATAATCTGTAAAGTTAAAATAAACCAATTTCTCAGAAAAAGTACAATTATGTATTCATCTTGGCTCAAGCAATAATTTCTCTAATAAATCCTCATAAAGAAGTCATTGTTTGATATAAAGAACATAAAATGAGTTTTTTAGAGCTGTGTTTTGTAACAGCCGTAGGGAGTATCATCCCAAACACAACTTAGAGGGCCCAATGAGGGTCTTTGTACTCAGTCTGTGCTGAGCTGATTGAATTCGGGAATAAACTTTAGAATATTTCGATAAATAAATGAAGTATGTGTCCTTCAAGCAAACATCCTAATTATTACTTCTCTCAACGGCATTTGTGCTGAATACTAAATGATCGTGAGCTTAAGATTAAACTTCCTAGAAAATACCTAGAGAACTGCTGTGTTGTGTAGCTAGCTGAGCACAGATCCATAAGGCAAAAGATCAAGCCGGTAATAGTGTTAGCACCCTTTTGCGACAGCCGAGGAGCCTAAGAGAGATACGTATGTGCCTGGATAGGAAGCCATCCTTCTCCATTCCAATGAGCCAAAACAACATTCAGTAGCTGAGACAAAATTATCTTAGACACTTGTTTTGAGTCTGCTTTGCTCCAGAATATAGAAAAATGGGTAATTAAGCCTTCAAAGTCCTACACCATCCAAGTGATAGAAATAAACTTCACTCCCCAAAACTCATAAAAACCAATATAACTTGATGGCTGCCTCAATCAAATAAAATAAAATATCAGTGAAGCACTCA